CGCTTGTGTGGCCACATTTTCTCTAAGCTTTCTAATCTCCAGTGTCTATAATCTCATCTGTATTGACGACAGGAACAACAGAAGACCGTCTTCATCAGTTATGGAGCATTGTGAATACAAGATGCTGCCTTTGTCCAGCACATCATCAGCTTTTCAATCTCTCACGAGTGAAATCTTTAAAGACACAGATCGATAAATGGATGATTAAGTATGAAGATGACAGCTCATCACGTTCGTTAGTCATGTAAGTCATGTTCGTTAGGTGCTGCAAAGCCTGGCTGACAATCACTTGTTTGAGAAAGTGGAAAAAAATATGAGTTTCATAAAGCAGCCATTGTGTTTTTAAGCTCCATGCTGAGTTAAGGAAGTCATTGCTTGGCCAAAATCAAAGCAGTAGTATGCTGGGCTGGTCTTTAGTCTGGCAAAGAACAATAACAATTTACACAGAAAAGCAAAATTCTACAAATGATTTGAGTGTTACTTTTAAGCGCCCTACAAAGACTCCTTCATGGACACCAGCAGCTCAATCGTTCCAGGAATTCAAGTCAAATCTAGATCCCATATTTCCATTCATTGACAGTTATGAGCCCCTTTCACACAGTGATACCGGTAAATATCTGGAAAATTTCCGGAACGACTTTACCGGTATATTCAAAAAAGTGCTGTTCACACAGGCGAGGACGTTACGGAAATTTTCCGGAAAAGAGCATTCACACATCCATTCCAAAATACCGGTAAATTCTGACATCATTAACCACAAATGAGCTTTAAACGGCTGCGCTTGTATTTGTAAACATTTGACTAAATTACAGACTCTGTGGATGATCAATATTGTGAACAACTTTCGCAGGATCACTTTCGCATGTCGAGATGTTCATAATATGTGCGTGTGCAGGCGCTCACAGGCTGTTCCACAGGCACACGCAAAGCTTGAAGGTAAACAAACAACGGCTTATCATAAGCATCTCAACGATGATTATTTACACAGTTGGCATTAAGATGAACATATAAACGTGATCTGACTAACTTCTAGCAGCTAAATGTGTCTGGAAAAATATTCAAAGGTTTTTATTCTCACAAACCGCGCGGACGTAAATGCGTCTGACTGTTGTGATTGGCTAAAGCAGTCGTCTCACGTCAGCACGTTCTAGACGTGGACGCGCTTATTACGGCAATCTTCCTTCTGCATTCACACAGCGCAGCATTCCGGCAAATTGCCGTTAATGTTACAACTTCTCTTTCCAGAAAATAGCCAGAACGAATTTACCGGTATTTTCAAAAAGGACCTGTTCACACATACAACCTTTCCGGAAAATTGCCGGCAATTTTCCGGAAAGGTCTGTATGTGTGAAAGGGGCTATTGGCCCAGGTTCAAGGATGTCAAAAACCTGAACCTCAAACAAAGACAGAAACTCTTTACCCCAACCTCTTTGCCTCCTGTTCATGGAACATCATGGGAATAATCTCGTGCAGGCACAAACAAATGAGTGAGCCCCAACCTAATGTCCAGCAGAACAGCTCTTTGTAATTCAGTTGATCTAATCATTGCAGTAATCTGGCCAACCAGGTGAAAATACGATGACTTGGCCTGAGATGATTTATGACATGCCAACTCTGTCAAAAGGTGTTACCACTTATGTCAAGAACTGTGCAATGCACTTCATTCAATCCGCTGCCTTCAGCTCTCGTGCACCAATTGGATATTCCATTTCACCCATCCCTCCATCTCAGAGGACTACCCCTATCCTTATTCATGATCTGCTATTCTTAGAAACTGCTGGAGTCGTGTTTTCAGCATTGTTTTCTTTTTTATATGCTAGTGTGTAAACTCATCTGCTGTCTACAAACATTGGAGTATGTCTCACAGTTTGTTCTTGTACCCTCCCCAATCCACTAGGCAGTTTGCGAGGCTTAACCAGAAGCTGGGTTGGTTTCTTTGTTCCTTCTGCACCAGCAACCAACAGAATTTGCTCAAAACCTTTTTGCAAGCCACCAGTTTGATGCCATTGCTTTGAATTTCTGGGGTTTCCAGCATCCACTCTTTCCTTGTTTGGAACTGGCAGTAATGGTGCAATGAAGCAACCCAGTTTAAGAGGCAGCTCATATTCATCTACATCAGGGCTGTCAAACTCAGTTCCTTGGGGGGCGCAGTCCTGCAGAGTTTAGTTCCATCCATACTGCTACAAACTTGAGGTTTAAATCTAGCCTGGAAGACTCTGTGTTTAGTTGAAAGCAAAAGTATTGTTTGATACCAGCTCTTCATAGGGCCTGTATCAGCCAGCGGCACCCCTGGTGGGTGGAGTTACACAGACCAGGGGAGGTGGGACGGGTTGTTGGGAGGTGTTGGTGTGGGAGGGCAATTGAGCTTCAGGAGGGCCGCTGATAGTATCTGTGGGGGGCCAAAACGACGTGGGCCCTTAGAATTGTCCTAACTTCCCCTGCCCCATACAACCCCCAAAACCCACTCCCCCCAGGGGATGGGTGTCAGTCCTACATACTGCATATTTAAAGCAAAAGTTCAGCAAAAATAAAGACGTACTCAACGTTGACTTTGTTTAACAGAAAAAAAATAGCTCAAACAGGTGACGGGTGACTAAATGATAACATAATTTTTATTTTAGAGTGAATTATCCAACCCAAGCTCATTCTGAAAACGATGTTTCTGGAGACTGCGATTTACGTGGCCGGAGGTACGTATGGCTGCATTTCGTTTTTTCAAGCGAATGCTATGGGGCGGTGTGACGCCGCTGCTCTTAGCACTCGCCGGCTGGGCTGACGGCTCGCCTCCTTCGTGTGGAGGGCTTTCCGGCCGCAACCAGTTTGTCCGGTTAGCTCGTCGTGTTACGCTGGCAGAGCGGAGGCCCGGAGGAGGGGGAGGAGCTGGCCGCGTTCGACGACCGGGTTTGAGTCCGGGGAAGAGCGGTTCCAGAATCAGGTAAGACAAAAAACAGAATCCAAAAAATAAAGCGAACGAGTTCGTAACAGGGCGAGAATGCGGTGAAATCCGTAAACACGGTCAAAATCGGACGAGGGCTTTTCTTTTTCTGAACGGCTTTCGTAAATTGTTGGGTTTAGGGAAAAAGGAGGAGGAGAAGGGTGGCTGGGTCAGCCGATTGGTCGGCCGCCCAGTCAATCGTTTAATCATTCAGCCAGTCGGTCAGTCGGACAGATGGTTGCCCGACAGCGGTCTTCGGTGGCTTTTTACGCGAGAACAGCGCAGGCGCGAACGGATTTGCGAAAACAAAAACTGCACAAATACGTATCTACCGGGGCGTATATTGCGGTCTCCAGAAATGTCCGCGGGGCTACAATTCCAGAAAGAGCCTGGGTTGGAATAATCCATTTAACTCGCTTGTTATACATTTGTATATGGTATTGTGTAACGTTTTGCAGTGTACCAAATTTGAGAAAGGCCAGCTAAAATTTGAGAAATTTGTACAAATTTGTAACCTGATGAAAATTCAGCACAATAATCATGTTTTTTTTTTATTGTGCGTGATGCCAAGAAATGGGAAACGTTGTACGAAACTTTATAAGAAACATGTTTGTCATTGTGCATTGTCACCGACTCGGTCCCAGTCATTCCCCTCGCTGGCCAGCAGAGGCCGCCATCTCCGGACTTCTAGCATTACATCATCCACTTACGCTGATTGTGCACACACCTGTTCTGAATCTGGTTAACGACCCACGTACCCTATTTAAGCCGCACACAAACACTCATTCAGTGCGAAGTCTTGTTCAGCCCCGGCCAGCATTACTGAGCGTTATATCCAGCCTGATCTCTTGTGCACGACCCCAGCCTGTTTTTGACTTTGCTTCGCCTTCTGCCTGCCCACGACCCACGCCTGTTACACGGACTCTGATTCTCGCTGCCTGCCCTCGACCCAAGCCTGCTACACGGACTCTGAATCTCGCCCCTTGCCTTCGACCCATGCCTGGTAACTCACTCTGTGTCTGTTCACCGTCATTCCTGAAACTATTACTTCTACTGTGGATGTGTGTGTGCACCCAGGTGCATATTGTGTGTTTGAGTGAGATTGTGATCAATAAATACTGCATAATGGATCCCTCCGTGTCAGTCTCCTCGTTACATGCATATATCTGTGTTTATCCATTTGAATTTTAAGTTTAGGTTTTAATAACTTAAGTTTAGTTAGAGGTAAGTAATTGAAGAATAGTGATGATAATAAATTGTTCTTTATCCTCAAACCTATTGTATTTATAAATATAAGTGATGTGTATATTACATGAGTTTGCTTATATGAGGTCAGGCTACAACATCGGAAAATCTGGAGGAGCTTTTCTCTAATAGACCTGCTCCTGTTAAACTAGTTTTTGGGAGAGTGCAGACAAACCGATGGGAATTTCAGTAACACATGCTTACAATTTGCTTTTATAGCTTACATTTTGAGCTCTATATTTTCAACATTTGTGCTTTCCGAACCCTTTAAATTCAAAGAATGTGTTACAGTCAGCGTCAGATTCATCTGGCTCTAATTAAGACCGGTATTGTTCTTCTAGCCTCTGTGATTGAGCATTGAAAACACATACAGTATACACACCAAACACTGAAAAGCCACAGTTGAATGAACCACCAATTATTGCAGCATACGTTTTATGCAGCGGATGCCCTTCCAGCCGTAACCCAGTACTGGGAAACACCCATACACACTCACATTCAAACACACTATCCACTATGGCAAACTTAGTTCATCCAATTCCCCTAAAGCACATGTGTTTGGACTGTGGGGATAACCGAAGCGCCTGGAGGAAACTCGTGTGAACATGGGGAGAACATACAAACTCCACACAGAAATGCCAACTGGTCCAACTGGTATTTTAACCTTTCTTGCTGTGAGGCTAACCACTGTTTCAGTGAATCACCTAATGCACAGTACAGATGTGCAGCATTCTACCCTGTGCATTGATCCCTCACACTGTTTACAGCTAATAATGACATAAATCATGCTTGACCTCGTTTCTCCTTCTTGTTCTTTCAGACGGCTCCACTGCACCAGGAACTACATCCACATGCACCTGTTTCTATCGTTCATGTTGAGGGCCATTAGTATCTTCGTGAAGGATGTGGTGCTGTACTCTGGTTCGGCGCTGCAGGAAATGGAACGAATCACTGTGGAGGATCTCAAATCCATCACTGAAGCCCCTCCTGCCAACAAAACCCAGTTTGTAAGTGCAGCACACATTCACTAACGGCTAGCAGAGGTGTAAAGTAACAGATTACAGAAGCTCAAACTCAAACTACTTTACTAAGCAGTTTAAGAAATGTGTACTTTTACTTACTTGAGTACTTTTTAGATCTATATTGCATTTTTACTCCGTTATTTGCTCTAACCGTACTCACATCCCACCTCAAGAGCAGTGTGTTCATTGTATTTATTTTTTGATTCAAGTATAAAGTAGTTAAAGAGCTAGCGTTGCACCAGACCCCCGTAAGTGGTGTCGTTTGAAATTGTAGAATCTATATTTTCTGCACATATGCATCACTTCGGTTTTTATTCTACTGTATAAAAGTTATTTACACTTAAATACACAGTATTTTGGATACCCGAGCTAGGTATTTTACATTGGTTCATTTTCATAATTTTTTTATATGACACATGTACAAGTTATAGCTCAAATGAAAGCTCTTGCCGGTGCTCATACAGTTCTAGCATTCTTTTTACTGAATTATATTCATATGCCAAACAGTTGTTGAATGAATTGTGGTGTTTCCATGGCGCAGAAGTGAAAACAATTCATTCATGATCAATAAGCAGCCCCAGATAGCACAGACAGCTGTCATCTCTCACCTTATACTGTGTGCTTCAGGGCCATTCTCCTCTGTTTTTGAGGTGATGTGCATGAGTAATCCTTTTATATGTCTGATGTGGTCCAAACACAGTGAATTATGTTTGATCAAACAAAAGAATAGTAAAATATATGTAAACAAGGATCGGTCTCTGTGGATTGTACAGCACCTCTCATCAGTTGGAATACAATAACTTCTGCATAGATTATGGTGGAGACATTTTTCTTTTTTCCTATCATTACAGACATGTGTAGGAACCACCAACATTAATTACAGCACGCTAGACCACACACAACCTAAAAGGTACACTTTCAAATTTGAGTTTATAAAAAAAAAATACAAAAAGCGCCTCTTTTATTAGGTGTTAATTATAACACAGACGACATATACAGTTGTTTTAAACACTTTCAATAGTGTTTTATGAAAATTCAAAGGCTTTTCTATAAAATTATACCAAACTTTTGCATTTACACCTCTTTATGTGGATTTGGGAAGCTTTTAAATTTGGGTAGGCAAAATCCAGGCGGAAATCCCCAAATAGCAGCAAAGTTTAAGTGGTTAAGGCCACCTAATATAAAGTGGGACCCCAATTTGTTTCTCAATTTGTTACTCAAAACAGATCAGTTGCAAGTACTTTTACTAGAGGATGATTAACCAGTACTCTTTCCACCACAGCTAACGCTAAAGTATAAAGCGGAGGGATTTCACACTGTTCAATCTCACACTGTAGCAGAGGGATCTCACATTGTGTTGTTGCCATAGTAGTGGCCGAAGTGTGTGAGCATCATTATCATGTCAAGCCATGTGTTGAATTGCCACTAAGACCCTCTAGCAATTTTCTCATCCTGTATATGCTTAGGTTACTCAGTAAAGGCCTATGGGAACTTATGGTTTCCGCTACATTTATTCTTCCGTGGCGGGAAGCCACACCAAAATTCATCCCGCCACGGCTACATTACAGCTTCTTATTCAAAATATTTGGTCATTTTTTAAATAGCGGGTTAAAATCGCACCGAAAATGTATGAAAAGGTAAGTGAATAATAACAGCGCAAACTTTTCTGTGACTGTAGTTGTGCTGTGCGTGCTGTTTACAGGGCCGGAGCAAGCTGAAGTGCTGTTCTAGGCAAAGGACGCTCATGCCGCCCTCAAACATTATAAAATATTATACACAGATATAACTGAGGGCGCAGGTGCTGAGGGTAGTGTCGGGGATGCCACTTTCTCTATTCTGCCGCACTATACGTGGATATAACTTAGGGCGCGGATAGCGAGGGTAGTATCGCGGACGCCGCTCTCTCTATTCTGCCGCCCTAGACGCGGATATAACTGAGGGTGCGGGTGGCGAGGGTAGTTTTGGGGATGCCGCTCTCTATTCTGCCTCCCTAGATGCGGATATAACTGAGGGCGCGGGAAGCGAGGGTAGTTTCGGGGATGCCTCTCTCTCTATTCTGCCGCCCTAGACGCGGATATAACTGAGGGCGCGGATAGCGAGGGTAGTTTCGGGGATGCCGCTCCCTATTCTGCCGCCCTAGATGCGGATATAACTGAGGGTGCGGGTGGCGAGGGTAGTTTCGGGTATGCCACTCTCTATTCTGCCTCCCTAGACACAGATATAACTGAGGGCGCTGGTGGGGAGGGTAGTTTCGGGGATGCCGCTCTCTATTCTGCCTCCCTAGACGCGGATATAACTGAGGGTGCGGGTGGCGAGGGTAGTTTCGGGGATGCCACTCTCTATTCTGCCTCCCTAGACACAGATATAACTGAGGGCGCTGGTGGGGAGGGTAGTTTCGGGGATGCCGCTCTCTATTCTGCCTCCCTAGACGCGGATATAACTGAGGGTGCGGGTGGCGAGGGTAGTTTCGGGGATGCCACTCTCTATTCTGCCTCCCTAGATACAGATATAACTGAGGGCGCTGGTGGGGAGGGTAGTTTAGGGGATGCCGCTCTCTATTCTGCCGCCCTAGATGCGGATATAACTGAGGGTGCGGGTGGCGAGGGTAGTTTCGGGGATGCCGCTCTCTATTCTGCCTCCCTAGACACAGATATAACTGAGGGCGCTGGTGGGGAGGGTAGTTTCGGGGATGCCGCTCTCTATTCTGCTGCCCTATACGCGGATATAACTGAGGGCGCTGGTGGCGAGGGTAGTTTCGGGGACGCCGCCCTCTCTATTCTGCCGCCCTAGGCGGCCGCCTTGGTCGCCTCTATGGACGCGCCGGCCCTGGCTGTTTAACCCTTTAAGGCAGGGGTGGCCAACCCTGTTCCTGGAGAGCCAACTACCTGCAGATTTCAGTTGCAACCCATATCAAACACACCTGCCTGTAATTATCACGTGGTGTTCAGGTCTTAATTAATGGGTTCAGGTGTGTTTGATATGGGAGACATGATTTCCTTCTCTCAATCCATTCCTCAATCATGTTTAGCGAATTGGATGAAGCCAAATGACTTGCAGCTTCTGATAATGAAGGATGGTCCAACACATTCTCCATTAGAATGAATAAGACAAGATCATCTTCTTTCCTTTTGCATACTGACCAAAACCGTCGACATTCTTGGCCTTGATTGGTCTCTTTCAGCTGAGCCTGGATTGGATAAATGGTTTTCTGCTGAAAATGGTCAGGCCGCCATCAGAGAGTCACACCATAGAGACCTGCTCTATTCTTTTCATGAGGTGCAACAAGGAGCAGGCAAAAACAGAGTCCTAACCCTAACACATTCTCCGTTAGAATGAATAGGAAAAGTCTCTTCTTTCCTTTCGTATACTGACCAAAACTGTCCACATTCTTGGCCTTAATTGGTCTCCTTCAGCCAGGCCTGGATTGGATAAATGTTTTTCTGCTGTCAGGCCATCGTCAGTGAGTCGTTGCAGTCTGCTCCATTCCTTTCATGAGGTGCAACAAGGAGCAGACAAAAACAAATGACAAAGGGCAAAGACAAGAATGTCCCAGACCTGGAGGTGCTCCATTAGTGGCGTACTGCTACAGTCTTTGTGTGACGGGTGAAAAAAGATGACAGCACAGACTTTTGGCCGTGATATTGTGAGTCTCATTGTCCTTGACCAGCATGTGTGTGTGAATTTAACTGAAATGAAAGACCGGGATTGGGTTTCTCCTGCCGATGCATCTTGTCTCAGGATTTGTAGTCACATTTTACAATTCCAATAGTTAATGTTAAATAAAGTATTTACTAACATGAAGAAACTGCGAATAATACATATGGTAAAACTTTATTTATTTATTTATTTATAATTTTTAAACAGGAAAAGATTAAAAGATAATCGGGCCTGACTCAGCATGAATGCTTTTTTTTCAGCAGGTTCCTGCTCTGCAGAACATAAAAACAGACAGACATCTCATCCGTCAACACAGTACAAACAATCACCAAACATATAAAATAAAGAAAAGCAGGCTACCATCTCAGTGGCTACAGCGATAGTTGACCATCAGATGACGAGCATGAGATTTTTTATGATCGATGAATTTGCTCTTCAGTGTTTGAACTCTCAGTAATGATTAAATCACACTGAACTGAGCTAAACTGAACTGAACTAAACTGAACTTAAACACTAAAACCTGAACCACACTGTTCCAGTTACTATGACCATTTATGTGAAGCTGCTTTGACACAATCTACATTGTAAAAGCGCTATACAAATAAAGCTGAATTGAAAGCTGAATTGAATTGAATTGAATTGAATTGAATTGAATTTTAAAAGTCTCAGTGTTGGTCTTGTTTTGAAATGTTGTGGGATCTCATTCCAGGCTCTTGTGAAAACATAAAAGAAAGACCTCTGTCCATAACAGTTTTTAAAAGCCGGTACTGGCAAAACATCCATTTGTTACAGATCTAGTGGAAGGATCAGTCCTTGTGTTGAGTTTTGGTACCAAAGCACAAAGGGCTGCTGAGGTAGAGCTATTTAAAATTTAATAGTACAGTTTGATACCTGTGTTCATAATGTAGTTTTGAAATGTTAAAGCTTTAGAAAGTGATAGAGCAAAACAGTGATGTGTCCATCCAGAAAGTCTGTTGTGGATCTTATAGGGCCTATTGCACAGTCTAACTATTGGCTCCAAGATATCGTTTGTTGTGAGAGACCAAATAGGCAGACAGTAAGACAAGGTGGACAAGATTACAGAATTTACAGTAAGGTAGTATTAATTAGTGTTACTTAATGCATTCACTGACATGAAAAAACAATGAACATTACATTTATTACAGCGTTTGTTCGTATAAGTTAATGAAAATACAGTTTTTCATATGTGTTAGGTCATATTAGCGCATTAACTAATGTTAACAAGGATGAATATGTTTTTTATTAATGCATGTTGATAATAAATGTTGATGTTTAAATGCTGAAGGATGTTTAATAAATACTGCTCTAGTCCATAATTAGTTCATTTTAGTGAACAAAAATCTTATTATAAAGTGTGACCATACAATTATTACAGTATTCATTTATCTTTGTTCATGTCATTTGTCACATTGCATTTTAATGTACAATTCATGTTATTGACAAACCTTTACCCAAGTCTTTTTAAAGAATTGAATTAAAATGGGTATTAAAAAGCTGTATACAGTTATTCTATACTTTGTTAATACAAAACTTTGTCCACTTTTTCTAAGCTAACTCTGGCATCAACAAGCAACACAGAACTGCTGCTGCTCAATGGATATTTTCTCTCTTTTTTTTTTTTGACCATTCTCTGTAAACCCTACAGAAATGGTTGTGCTTGAAGATCCCAGTAGATCAGCAGTTTCTGAAATACTCAGAGCAGCCCGTCTGGCACCAACAACCATGCCACGTTCAAAGTCACTTAAATCCCCTTTCTTCTCCATTCTGATGCTCAGTTTGAACTGCAGCAGATCGTCTCGACCATGTCTATGTGCCTAAATGCATTGAGTTGCTGCCATGTGATTGGCTGACTAGAAATTTGTGTTAACGAGCAGTTGGACAGGTGTACCTAATAAAGTGGCCGGTGAGTGTATATATAAAATCAAAAGCTTAATGTGTAACTCAGTGCATTATATTCATATTCCGCCCACTTGTTTGCCTTATTCAGCTAATTTATCTTAAATCATTTGAATTTGACTTTTTAACATGTCTGTCTCAGTACATTGTCTGTGTAATGCCGTTATATAGGAGGAAAACATGATATTTTATGCCTTAACATGCATCTCTCTCTCATATTATGATCATCTGCATGTCATATTTAGTCATTTATTTTAATTATTTCAATGTTTATTACATGTAACCTTTTTAATATTAACAGCACAACGTAAAAGCAAACCTTGTGTGGATTGCAGTATGTTGGAAAGTGCAGGTGGAAATTACATGTCGTGCCAAATGTAATTCTCTTCTCTGCATGATGTAGCAAGATGCAGCTATATGTGTGACTATTAAATGTATGTTCACTAAAAATAGGTTGCAAATGACGTCAATTGTAGAGCTAGCGCAGGTGTCTGCATTGCATAAACCCTGCTGAAACTTTACCATTGGAAATCTCGTGTTGATAGACGATGAAACACCACCTAGAAATGTTATACATATATATATATATATATATATAATATAATATAATATAATATAATATAATATAATACATACATAAATATATATAAATGTTCAAAATGTCATGTTTTTTAAAAATTCTACATTTTAAAAATGTTCAAGCGTTTCGATGACTGTTAAAGGTACAGTATGTAAGTTTAACACCTAGTGGTTGAACTAGGTATTGCGCGCCTGATTGAAAACACACGCAAGCACAGGTTGCCAGGTTGAGGAGCAAGCCTAACCATCAATCAACAAGTCTAAAGGCTGATTTAAGTCACGTTATAAATAAAAGCAACGGCATGCGATAAGCCTGGTATACTCGATATATCTACTAGTTCGTTTGGGTGCTGCGGCGAATGTGACGTCATCTCGGATTTTGAGGTTCACTTTGGGTGCTCGTGACATGATGTCGTCTAATGTGTTTTTCGACCATCATTTACATTGATGTATATTGCAATTTCACAAAACTAAAATTAAGTCACAAATAGTTTCTTTGATAACTGGAAAGGAATATTTGAACCTATCAGTGTACAATATACTGATGCCCTGTTTTTCTAGGCTTTACTGGTGATAATGGTCGGGAATGTTGGACCATTATTGACTTTTTAGCATATCAGTAGAGGACAGAAACTAGGCAAACAGTAATGTGTGAATTGTGGAGTGGGCTAAATCTAAAAAAAAAAAAAAAAAATTAAATAAATGTCATTATTTTTAGTAATTGTACTTTTTTTGCATTCATTCTTGCCATAATAAAAACTTTATTTGTAGAGCAACCCATTTTTTCTTGTCATTATTATTTTAATAAACTTAAATTGCTAAAACGGTCTGAGATATGAACAAAAGCAAGGGATGCATCAAAGTTTGATTAAAAAAAATCTTGAATGGTTATAAAAATCTTTATAATCATTAAAATAATTAATTTTAAAAATAGTTTAAAAATCTTCCATAATATTAACGATATGGCGTAATTCCGGAAACTTCCTACTTCTCTGTTTATCCGTCTGACTTTACAGTGGGTTTCTTTCGACTGCCCCCTGTCATTTTAAAGAATATCACTACGGCGAACGCGTCAACTATAAAAGCCTCGTCCATTTCGTGACGTGTGTGCACAGTCGGCGGAGGTCAGTGATACGGCGCCAGGCGAAAGTATAAATCAGGCTATAAAAGGAATATTCAGATCCTGAAAATAAAATAAACTGATTGAACTTGAACTGTGACTGGTGCAAACCAACACATATCAGTGATTCTGCATGAACATTTAATAATGTCAAATGTCAAAGAGGTGTATTATGCAATAATTAGGTTATAAACCTAACATCACTATTCTGAGCTTCTGAATGGCTGTACTTAAGTTTCTGTATTTAAAACAGCCTTATCTCCTCCTGCAGCGTGTTGTTAGGACACGGGGTTAGAATGTACCCTGCACACCTAATGTTTACGTTTGTAATTGTGACGAGGGGGCGTGGCCGAGAGCCGTGGGAACGAAGTGAGGCCACCGCTTAAGTGGATACACCTGCGGTGCGCACCTGCCTCGAATCCTACGGAAGGAGTTCTGGACTATAAAAGGAAGAACGATGGCAGAGGAAGCCGAGAGAGGACCGGGCCTGGACAAATTTTACTTTTGCTTTCAGTTTGATTGCAGTCACTGTTATTAATAAATAATTTAAACCTGCGTCAGTTCTCCTTCTTCCCGGCGGCCAAAGGGCCGTGAACTTCATTACAGTAATATTTATGTTATTTGCTAATTAATAACCACTTTGTGGAACTCTGAATCTGTGTCTCATTTTGGAGGCTGCTACAGTCCACCGGAGGTTGCATTTTGGTCACGGATGCACACTAAAAGAGCTTTCCTGACTGATAAATGAAATACACTGTTTTCCATCAAGGCAACCCGGGGTGCTGAAATATAATTGGCTAAACTGGCATTGGGCAGGTTAAAAGAATCAAAACAAAGACAGCCGTTCAGGCACGTAACGTGCATTTTCAAAGCAGAATATCTGACTTCAGCATTGTTTTTTCAGGTAAACAATTATGTTCACTTGTCATGTTTCTGAAATATCAGCAAACATATTTTGGTATTTCTATGCTTACATACATACAGCACCTTTAAACATCTATTATAACCATCATGTGAAAAGGGCCCATAGCATTTCTAATAACACATTTTAAACATCCTTTTCCTTAAAGAATTCATTATGATGATTTTTGTAGTTACTTATGGCCTGTTTCTCAGTAGCAGTTGAAGGTGACTTCGGGAGCCCATGCTGCTAATCGATACGATGCTGAATTGATTTCCCTTCACCCTTCAGATCGGCTGTAAGGTGGCGGTGACGCTCTTCTTGTACTTCTTGGCCACTAATTATTACTGGATTCTGGTGGAAGGCCTGTACCTGCACAGCCTTATCTTCATGACCTTCTTCTCAGACAGGAAGTACCTCTGGGGCTTCACTCTGATTGGTTGGGGTGAGTAAACATCTTCGCTCGCCTCCAAAAACACGCAATTATCCAGCTTCTGGCTAGAGACGTGCTTGCATATCCAAAGATTTGATTATGTTTTTCCTTTAGATTCAGTTAAAGTCAGAATTATTACACTTTTTTTCTCTTATTTTAACCTTAACAGAGAAAATTTGTTTTTGACAATAATATTTTTATTAATTCATTTATAATAACTGATTTCTTTTATCTTTGCCATGATGAAAGTACAATATTTGACTAGATATTGTTCAAGATACTAGTATTCAGCTCAAAGTAACATTTAAAGGCTTAACTAGGTTAAGCTCAGGGAACTAGGCAAATCATTGTATAGCAGTGGTTTGTTTTCTAGACAATCCAAAACAAATATTGCTTAAGAGGGCTAATAATATTGACCTTAAAATGTGTTTAAAAAAATTAAGAACGGCTTTTATTCTAGCCGAAATAAGACAAATAAGACTTTCTCCAGAAGAAAAAATATTATAGAAAATACTGTGAAAAATTCCTGAATCTGTTCAACATCATTTGGGAAATATTTGAAAAAGAAATTCACTAGAGGGCGAATAATCTTGACTTCAACTGTAGATTCTGTGCATGATTTGTTAAATGGAAGTGATTGGTTTTACAATTTTTTGACTCCTGAGTTATTTCAACGCAATCTCACGGCAGTCACTAATTCGTATGAATTCATAAGATCATAAGAATTCATAATTCATACAGAATTCATAAGATCTAATTTGTACAATTTAGTACTATTTGCTCATCACCGATTGAAGGTTGGGGTTAGGGGTGGGGTTTGGTGCCACGCCTCCTTTTTAAAATTGTACATTTTCGTACAACTGACAAAACGTTAAATACTTACGTTTACTCGTGAGATCAGGCTGGTTATTTTGAGTTGTTGTTAACTTTAACTGGCCCAATAAGAAAAAAATGTTTGGATTGCATTAACTCAACTCCTAATGTCACTAGTTAACACACTCAATGTTGTTGTTTTTTTTTTTTTTTGGAACACATCCCATAATTTCTAAAATATCAGCTTCTATCAAATGGTTGGTATGTCGGTTTTTGGTAAAAGTATCAGAATTAATACATATACTATGAATAATCTGAAAATATAAAGTTAAAAAATAATCAAAATAAATCATTTTTAAATACTTATATATTTTGAAGTATGTCATAAAATATTTTAGATTCTCATATAACATGCTTGTTTTTAATACAATAAAACCATAATCAAGTGTAGTAGTGCAACTAGATTATGTTTGTTTAGATTTTTTTGTAAACCAGCAATGCTGTGTGTGTAAACCAATATTTAAATCAGTCATTCTTTAAATTACTTTGGGTCATTATTTAATACGGTAAAAACATCTCAACCGTTTTGTAGCCCAGCAGTTAAAGGGTTCATGGTTTCCAGTGTGCTGTGTGTTTTGAGGACATTTTCAGATATGCTGTGGACTCCTCGGCTCCTGCATTGTACACACTGTGCGGAAAACATGGACATGCACAGCGCATACAATGTGGATGCTGTGGAGCCCAGACACTTCTGTTGCAGAGCAAGACCATTGGACTGTGGGGGAAACCGGAGCTCCATACCCCATACAGAAATTCCAGAAACATTGAACCAGCCGGGACTTGAACCAGCCACCTTCTTCTTGTGAGGCCACAGTGCTAACCACTGAGCCACAGTGCCGCCATTGGTTATTATAAATGAGTTATTAAAATTATTATGTTTTGAAATCCGTTGGAAAAAAAAAAATCTTGTTTTCGTTAAACAGAAATTGGGGGGGAATAATTCAGGAGGGCTAATAAAATAAAAATAAAAAACTTTCTATATACAGCATAAATTCGTTTTCTATATGATGATTTACAGTAATATAGCTGTGCATATGCATTCTGTGTGCCAATGCTGAAGCCACAACTGCAACTAATCTACTGTAATAAAAAAACTGTAAGATCGCTGTTCAAAAATTATATATATATATATATTTTATTATTATTATTGTGGTATTTGTCATCTGTTCAACTTATTTCAATTTAATTGTATTATATTTCTATTTCTAAAGATGTTCTTGAAATGAATGATATTTATTGTAATAAATCTGCATTACATACATCTACTATGCTGTTTTGTAACTGATATATAGTGTTCTATTGCTTGCTTTTCCTCTTTCTAAGATTGTCAAGGCTAATCATTTCCCGTGGCTTCTGTAATAAATGCACGTGTCCTTATATTTCTCGTCACAGGTGTTCCTGCGATGTTTGTCACCATCTGGGCGAGTGTTAGAGCCACACTTGCTGACACTGAGTGAGTCTCTGAGTAAACACGAATGGTTCATTTTTAGGTTGTCTATAAGCTAGTGTGCTCCAAAACAGTGACAACATTCGCGTTTAGAAGATGATATAAACATCCAAAGCTTGTAGTTTGTCAAATATTTTATTATTGACGTCACCTCATACTTCAGTTTCTCATCATATCGTCTGACCAATCAAATGCTCTCCAGTGATTGACATGCCCCGCCCTTATTTTCTCATTTAGCTGTTTACTTGTATGTTTGAACTCAGCCTTTTTCACTGGCAGAGCTGTGATAAAAACTAAACACTATTGGCTTTTTTTCATAGGAGGAGCTACTCTCCTGGCCTCTCTTGGTGTTTCAGTTGAGATTACGTCAAACATTGAATAATAAAAGGTGTTTCAAAGCACAGGATCTTGAATGTGTGCATCAGTACAGACAATAGCAGCAT